TTTTCAAGATTATTTGGTTCTTTTGGGTGCCTTGCATTTTCAATCTGAATTTTTGGATCAGCTTGTCAATACATGCAAAAAAGCCAACCGGGATTTTTTAAAGGACTGCACTGAATCTGCAGATCAATTCAGGCAATACTGCCCTCTTAACAATATTAAGTTTCCCGATCCATGATATGGGATGTCTTTTTATTTATTTAGGTCTTCTTTAATTTCTTTCAACATTGTTTTCAACTTTACAGTATACAAGTCATACTCCCTTGATTAAATCTAATTCTTCAAGAAAAAAGTCTGTGGCCTTAGGAATTAAATTCTATTATTATTAAATTAATATTAAAATGGCATACCTAAGTTGATGCTCTCGCAAGTTTGATAAGGCTTCCATACCATGTAAATAGGAGTACACTATTTCCAGATCCTGTTTGAAAAGAAAAGGAAAGGAATTATTAGACTTGTCAGGAAAAGAGGTTTCTAAAATAAGTCATTATATCTACAGATCAAATTAAGCTATGGATAGCTTTTTTAAAAAATACATGTTTTCTTAGACATTAAAAATAAACATTAAAAGAAAAGCTGAATCGCACAAATGTCGTCCATTACAATTGCTTTGGGGATATGCAGAAAACCTACTGGAAATACAAAATAAATCAACAAATTAATGAAAATAAATTCATTAGTTACTTTTTAACCACCTATTTTCTGCCTTTTACATCAAAATAGCAAATCTAACATTTTAATTTCATAGATATCTGCCAATACCATTATTAAATCAAATTTTTAGTCAATATAAAATTAATGCACATTTCAAGAATACACTTAAAATTGAGTATGAATTCAATTTTTTTCAGTTCTTACCACAATGACTTTTCTCATATATAATATTTACATTTAAATATTTTCTTTTAGCAAAGGAAGCATGCCTTGTTTTCCTAGATCACACTGCAGTAAACAGAAAAAAAGAATTCATGAAAGTTCAGAACAGGTACAAATTCAAAGTCCTATTTATTTTCACATTTAAGAAGCCAGCAAGGAATTGGTATTTTAAGATTCTAATGAATATCTAGGATTACACACAGTTCGTGATAACAAGAATATGAGTGGATATTTTACTCCTCCCCTAAATCTTAGTCAAAACTTAATGGTATTTTAAGAAATCTGTAAAATAATCCTCCCCTTTTTTAAGTAACAGCTTTATTGAGTGATAATTCTCATAAAATTTATCCTTTTAAAATTAACTCAGTAGTCTGTTGTACAACCATCACTAATTTCGTAGCATTTTCACCATCCCATGTAACAACCCCCCCCACCCGTTAGCACTCACTCTCCATTCCTCCTTACCCCAAGCTCCTCGCAACCACTAATCTTGGTTTCTGGACAAAGATTTACCTATTCTGCACATTTCATGATGGAAATTGCACAATGGAATATATGACCTCTGGGGACTGGTTTCTTTTACTTAGCATAATGTTTTCAAGGTTCATCCATGTTGTAGCATGTATCAGTACTTTCCTTTTTATTGCCAAGTAAGACTTCATTGTAGATGTATATTACATTTTGTTTATCAATTGGTGGACATGTCTATTTTTCTCGCTTTTTGGCTATTATGAATAATGCTGCTATGAACTCTTGTGTGTGTTTTTGTTTGAGCACCATTTTCAATTCGTATGGGTACATACCTACCAGTGAAATTGCTGGTTCACATGGTAACTTTATGTTTAACCCTTTAAGGAGCTGCCAAACTTCTTTTCTAAGTGGCTGCACAATTTTATAAGCCCACCAGCAACATATGAGAATGTCAATTTCTCTATGCCCTTGCCAACCACTCATAATTGTCTCTTTTGTTTTCGCCATCTTACTAGGTGTGAAGTGGTATCTCATTGTGGTTTTGATTTGCATTTCTCTAAGGACTAAGGATGCTGAGCATCTTTTCATGTGCTTTTTGGCCATTTATGTAACTTCTTCAGATAAATGATGTCTATTCAAATTCTTCATTCATGTTTTAATTGGGTCTTTTTATCAAATTGTAAGAGCCCTTTATATGCTCTGGATAGAAGGTCCTTGTCAGATATATAATTGGCAAATATTTTCTCCCATTCTGTATGCTATCTTTTTACTTACTTGATGGTGTCCCTTTTGAAGCACAAAGTTTTAATTTTGATGAAATCCAATTTATTTTTTCTTTTGTTGCATGAGCTTTTAGAGTCATATTTAAGAAACCATTACCTAATACAAGGATCATGAAGATTTCCTATTAAATTTTCTTCTAAGAATTCTATAGTTTTAGCTCTCACATTTAGGTCTATCATCTATTTTGAGTTAATTTGTATATGTAGTATGAAATAGGGGTTCAACTTTATTCTTTTGCATGTGTTTATCCAGTTGTCCCAGAACCATTTGATGAAAAGATTATTCTCTCCCCAATTCAACTGTATTGGTATGCTTGCTGAAAAAGAATCAATTGGCCATAAATGTAAAGGTTTGTTTCTGGTCTCTCAATTCTATTCCATTGGTCTATGTGTCTATTCTAACGCCAGTATCACACTGTCTTGATTATGCAGCTTTACAGTTAAGTTTTGAAATCGGAAAGTATAAAGCATTCTAACCTTCTTCTATTGTTTTCAAGATTATTTGGTTCTTTTGGGTGCCTTGCATTTTCAATCTGAATTTTTGGATCAGCTTGTCAATACATGCAAAAAAGCCAACCGGGATTTTTTAAAGGACTGCACTGAATCTGCAGATCAATTCAGGCAATACTGCCCTCTTAACAATATTAAGTTTCCCGATCCATGATATGGGATGTCTTTTTATTTATTTAGGTCTTCTTTAATTTCTTTCAACATTGTTTTCAACTTTACAGTATACAAGTCATACTCCCTTGATTAAATCTAATTCTTCAAGAAAAAAGTCTGTGGCCTTAGGAAAACATTTAAGAACAATTACAACTCTTGTGCAATTACATTTTATATATTAAGGGCACAGATGACAATAATTCAAACTAACTAGATAAGGAATTGGAAATTTTTTTAAGAGGACATTAAAGAGGTTTTCAGCCTAAAATATTTCATATTTCAAAGCAATATTATGGTGTGTTAAGAGGTGGGGGGAAGACCTGATCTATAATTTTAAATCATCCCAATTTAAAATTTATCAATATTAGGAATTTAAAATGTCACCCTCTGGTGGTCAATTTTCAAATAAACTGATGCCCTTTCAATTTATTCATCTGCAGTCTGATACTTCCGAGAAGTCTTTTAAAAATCTAAAGAATGAACTGTAAAAATAGGTCTTTAAATTCAATACAAATAAGAAAGTAGAAACAACATTTTCCAACATCCAAATAACAAAATGTACATTCCTAAAGCTAATAAATCCCTTCTTTAGAAGCAATCAGACTCTAATCATAATGTTCTATTTTCAGTTAGGGAAACCCAATAAAAATGTCCTAATTATTGAGTATTTTTCTTTCTTTAATACTTACAATAAAAGGTCCTTCTGGATAATCCTAAAATTCACATTCTGGTTTAAATGTTATGAATTTGTATGTTACATGCAGTCATTACATAGGACAGAAAAACTGCCCTGTTTCTGAAGTTTCTGAAGAGCTTATATTCTGATTCTAATTTTTAAGTCCAACATTTTGTTCACTGAAATATCTGTCAACGTGTTACAATCTGCCCAAGGCCTACATGACTTTTACCTAAGCAAGCAGACTATTTACACTCATTTAAACATTAAGCAAATAAATTTACACTGACCAAAAAAGTATATTTGGAAAAGCATTAGAAAGAAATAAGATTTTTAAAATCTATTTCTAGAAAGGAGGGAGACTCTAAAAGAAACATTATAGAAGCAAGAATTTGGAAGCTTAGAGACAGAAGCAAGGAAAGAATAGCCTTAAAGCCTTAAAAGGGAACAGGCGGTAAACAGGCCTTGAAATAACGAAGTATCTTCCTCTTCAACTAAACCAAATAAAATTAAAATAAAAGGACTGGTTCCTTGATCAAATGGCACTTTATTAATCTGTTGCTTTTTAACAATATGGAATTTCATAGTTGTGTAAGAGTCACAACACTGAATAAGTTAGTTATGTCATACACGTTATGTGTGTCAGTATAATACACATGGACTTAATATTGAGTATGAATGTATAATTCGTATGATTAACGGAATATATCTATGAATAATAATCACCATTACTTCTTTATCTTAAGACAATATATATAATAACTTGCAAATTAAATAATATTGATTAGTTAATAAAAACGTAGAGAACGAAATATTACCACCTTATAATTCACTGACATAAATGCGTAAGTTAGGAAGTTGTTACTTAGCCTGCATCATAAAAATTAGAGTTAAAGGAAAGAGACAATAGACACTGTTACACCGTTACTACATGACCAAATTAAAAAAGCAGTTTTCCCTTCCGTATGTACTACCTGCACATAAGACATTTGCACCTCACATAATCATGATGTATTTGGCCGAGTACTTCTAAATATGTGTATTCAAGCAATACACAACCCCAAAATCCTGTTTTTCATGTGAATATTTTATATATCTAGCCAGACTAAAAACTTCCTAAATGAATTCCATAATTAGGGTCAGAGTTTCTTCTATTACTCTTACAATAAGTCATCCCAAAAGAAACTTCTTTTAAACGCCTGCCCCACAAGGAGTTTATAAACTAGGAGAGCAGACAACATTATTCTATGGTATTCTGTGAATTGGGGCAGTATTATCAAGCTTGAACTAGACGACTTTACATATAGATTGTATCTAAACTTGAGATTTCTTCATTGTAGCTAACAGGAGTGGTAAGAAATTGGTGTCTAGATGGCAGGCAACAAACAAGTAATGTTTCACTATGCAATATGAACATGACCATCGCAGATTTGGGTATGAAGAAAAAACAGAGAAATTATATATGGCAAAGGCATTGAGAAATCTCTGCTCTCCTACCCTGAGGAATGAAAGAAAGTTGACTAAAGATAAGCAAAGGAAATGCAAACCACAAAAAGGAAGAATCTGTGTTTAAGCTTTCTTCAATAAAGAGCCTAGTAGCCAAATATTAAGTTTATCAGTGACTACAGATTGCATAGGTAAACAGCACTGAAAGGTAAAAAGGAAAATAAGTTTTCTTCTCCTTTCCTGGAGCAAGGTGGACTTAATAATATTTTGAAATAGGCAAATAGTGCCTTTTGAATCCTATCAACTTTTTCTAAAACCCTTACACAAGGTGTCCAGAGATCTCACATTAGCTAAGCCATGTACCAAGTCACTATGCCCTGGGCTGAAAATTAAAGGGCAGGCAATCTGAACATAAATGCGGGTGTGAATGATCAATCGGTGGGAGCCCTAGAACTGTCTTCCTTGAATTCTTTGCTGGCATTTGCACTTCCAAAGCCCAAACAAATC